TTCAATTCAATTAATTAACATATACTATATTATTTTTTTCAGGGGTACAGGTCTGTGATTCATCTGTCTTATATAATACCCAGTGTTCATTACAACACATACCCTCCCCAATGTCCATCACCCAGTTACCCCATTCCCCCATCTCTCTCCCCTCCAGCAACCTTCACTTTGATTCCTCAGATTCAAGAGTCTCTTATGGTTTGTCTCCCTCTCTGGTTTCATCTTGTTTCACTTTTTTCTCTCTTCCCCTATGATCCTCTGTTTTCTTTCTTAAATTCCACATATCAGTGAGATCATATGATAATTGTCTTTCTCTGACTGACTTATTTCACTTATGAGCATAATACCCTCTAGTTCTATCCATGTCATTGCAAATGGCAAGGTTTCATTTTTTTTAAAGATTTTATTTATTTATTTGTCAGAGAGAGAGAGCACAAGCAGGGGGGAGGGGGTAGAGAGAGAGGGAGAACAGACTCCCCAAAGAGCAGGGAGCCTGATGCGGGACTCGATCCCAGGACCCCAGGATCATGACCTGAGCTGAAGGCAGATGCTTAACCGACTGAGCCACCCAGGTGTCCCAAGATTTCTTTTTTTGATGGCTGCATAATATTCCTGTGTGTGTGTGTGTGTGTGTGTGTGTGTATACACCACATCATCTTTATCCATTCATCTGTCGATGGACATCTGGGTTCTTTCCATAGTTTGGCTATTGTGGACATTGCTGCTATAAACACTGGGGTGCACATACCCTTTCAGTTCACTACCTTTGTATCTTTAGGGTAAATAGCCAGTAGTGTGATTACTAGGTTGTAGGGTAGTTCTATTTTTAATTTTTTGAGGAACCTCCATACTATTTTCCACAGTGGTTGCACTGGTTTGCATTCCCACCCATTTTCATCATTTTAAAAAAAGGAAGTCTGTATTCTTTTATTTTATTAAGATTTTATTTATCTTTGAGAGAGAGAGAGACAGAAAGGGAGAGTGAGCACGAACAGGGAGGGAGGGGCAGAGGGAGAAGCAGACTCCCAGCTGAGCAGGGAGCCGGACATGGGACTTGATCCCAGGATCCTGGAATCATGACCTGAGCTGAAGGCAGACGCCCAACCAACTGAGCACCCAGGCATCCAAGAAAGTCTGTATTCTTAAGCTATATTCTCCCATCCCCCCACCCCCTGTAGCCTTATGTAAGCACCATTCTACTTTCTGTCTCCATAGATTCACCTATTCTGGACATTTCATATAAATGGAATCATATAATATGTGGTCTTTTGTGACTGGCTTTTTCACTTAGCATAATGTTTTCAAGGTCCATCCATGTTGTAGCATGTATCAGAATGTATTCCTTTTATGGCTGAAAAATATTCCGCTGTATGTGGATATATCATATTTTGCTTATCTATTTATCAGTTGATGTACCTTTTAGCTATTATGAATAGTACTGCTATAAACATTCATATACAGAAATTGGAGTGATGTGCCAACAAGCCAAGGAATGCTGGCAGCCACCAAGAACTGGAAGAGACAAGACTCACTCTCTCCTAGAGCCTCCTAAGAGATCCTGAAGAATCACGGCCCTGCCCACACCTTGATTTCATCCCAGTGATACTGATTTCAGACTCTGGCTTCCAGAACTGTGAGAGAATACATTTCTATTATTTTAAGCCACCAACTCCGTGGTAATTTTTTTACAACATTTACAACATTTTACATTATTTACAATAGCCAAATTATGGAAGCAACCTAAGTGTCCATTGATAGATAAATGAATAAAGAAGATGTGGTATATCACACACACACACTGGAATATTATTCAGCCATAAAAAAGAATGAAATCTTGCCATCTGCAACGACATGGATGGATCTAGAGAGTGTGATGCTAAGCAAAATAAGCCAGTCAGAGAGAGATAATACCATATGATTTCACTTATATGTGGAATTTAAGAAACAAAACAAGGACAGTACTACAGTGATCTTTCTGAGGTTCAAACCTATCATACATAGAAAAAGTTTATTCCCTTCGTCTCTCAGTCTCTTTGTCTCTCTCGCTCTCTATAAAAAAAACATACATACATAAATACATAAATACACACACACACAGAGGCGCTCACACACGCATGCCTGTCTATCTGTGATAGTCTGTTAGAAAATATACTAAAATGTTAACAGTGATTTCTCCATAATGGGATTATGATGATTTTTCTATACTCTTGTTTTTGAGTTTTGCCCTCAATAAGTATATATTACTTTTATAATCAGAGAAAAAAAACAACATAGGGACACCTGGGTGGCTCAATCAGTTAAGCATCTGGCTTCAGCTCAGGTCATGATCCCAGGGTCCTGGGATCCAGTCCCATGTCTGGCTCCTTGCTCAGCGGGGAGCCTGCTGCTTCCCCTGCTTGTGCTCTCTCGCTCTCTCTCTGACATAAATAAATAAATAAAAATCTTTTTAAAAAAACATAAATTATTGGGGCACCTGGGTGGCTCAGTTGGTTAAGCATCTGCCTTCAGCTCAGGTCATGATCTCGAGTCCCACATTGGGCTCCCTGCTCAGCAGAGGGTCTGCTTCTCTCTCTGCCCTTCACCCTGCTCACGCTCTCTCTCTCAAATAGATAAATAAAATCTTTAAAAAAAACCCCATAAATTATTTTAGAAAAATCTTCAAAGTCTCCCCACTTTACTTACAGAGTAAAGTACAAACTTCTAAGCACAGCACAGGCCCTCAATTATTTGGCCTATGCCTATCTCCCTAGCCTAATTTCCTATCCCTTAGCCTTCCCATTTTTCTGCAGCCAGGCCGAATTACCTAAAACAGGTCATTCTGCCTCTGATCCATTGTAAATTGGTCTGACTTCAACCTCTTGGTTAAGACCCAATTCAAAAGTGTTCTTTCTTGTGAAGCCATTCCTGATCCACTCATGTAGAACCTTGCTACCTTTGAGTTACCACTTTACCTCTAATATGGTGCTATTATTTTTTTTAAGATTTTACTTATTCATTTGACAGAGAGAGCACAAGCAGGCCATAGGCAGAGGGAGAGGGAGAAGCAGGCTTCCCGCTGAGCAGAGAGCTCCACCCAGGTGCCTCTAGTGCTATTATTTTATTTGCCTACAGTATTGCAATTATTTGTTTACATCACCATTTCTCTGTTTATGTTGTGATTGCCTTGAGATATGTGCAAGTACAACAATCTTCCTTTTATTTTGTTACCAAATATTTTCCAACATAAACAGCTGTTGTGATTTTTAACAAAGTATACATTCATTAAAATGTTACTGAATCCAGGGGCACATCCAGTCCGGCAGCGGTCTCTTTGCTCAGCAGGGAGCCTGCTTCTCCCTCTCCCTCTGCCTTCCACCCTCCATAAAGATAAAGATGATGTGGTGTGCTCTCTCTCTGTGTCAAATAAATAAAATCTTTAAAAAAAGTTACCGAATCCATAGTAGCTTTTCTATAATTTGTATTTTTTTCACTCAAGAGACACTAAAAACCATCATGTGTGTGTCTATAAAATATTTTATATTAAAAAGTCCTCATAGATCTTTAGGCATTTATATGGAAGGAGAGCTAAAGTATTTTTTAAAGTGAGAAAGTCATGGCTCAGAAAAGTATGTATAGCTTAGCTTAATCCTATGTGTATAAAAAAGTATAAACATTTCTTTTTGACTGGGTAAGTACAAACATAGGAAATAGAAATACAAGAAAGTGGTCATAATTGTAACCAGAGGGAGAGACTTTTCTCTTTATACTCCTGGGTATTGTTTAATTTTTTTTTTTTCCATGAGCAGGGGAAAAAACGTTTTTCAGAATAGAGGTAATATTTCTGTTGTCATAATAGAGGTGTTACTCATTCTCAAAAAGTTTGGGAACAATTGGTCTAGAAATGTCCAATATGGTAGCCACTAGCCATACGTGAGTATTTAAATTTTAGCTAATTAAAATTAAATTGAATTAACAATTCAGTCCCTCAGTTGCATTAATCATATTTCAAGCCCTCAATGGCCACATATGTATAGCCAGTAGTTACTGTACTGAACAGAGCAAATAACATTTCTATCCTTGCAGAAGTTCCTACTGGACAGTGCAGGTCTAGATCACTGTGTCCCCACATAATGAGGCACCAGTTGGGACACCCTGACACCCTGGGTCTGAATTAATTAGTGGGAACGAACGACAAACACCTATCAGTTGAGCCTTGTAGCTCTTGATTAACCACACGGCTAGTTTGGCATTACAGAAAAATGAAGGCGCCTACCTGATTGGCATCCTACAGAATATGGAATCAGTCTGATCTGGAGGCCTACGATGTATCCATGGCAATAATGACACCTGTTGAATCTCTTTGTGAATCACAGGAGCAACAGTGGTGTTTGGACTGCTGGGTTCCCTGGTTACCATAGAAATAGGTGGTTACAATTGTGTTTAATCACAGAAACTAAGTTATCAATCCCCGTCCTCTCCCCCACCCCTTTCTGTAACTATAACCACAACCACAGCCATAGTGATGACTGTTTCAGTTGGGCTTCATGAGTAGACCTGGCAGCAGAAGCAACTAGAAATGTAAGTATGGAGTGTCAGAGGGCAAGCCCTAATGAGGAAGTGTGAAAAAAGAAACATGGCGGGGCATTTTTTCGGAAGGAAAAGGCTAGATCTACCACACGGAATACAATGACATTGTTACTCTTGCCTCTTGCACAGGCGCAGTGCAGGAGTTCTCAGAGCAGCCTACGCGCACGTTTTCTCGCCTTCTCTTTCCACTTCCCTCTCTCTCCTTTTTTGCCCTCTCCTTTGCCTTTGCCATCACTTGGTTTTTCAGTCTTTCCGTTAGCCCGCTGATGTTTCTCCTTCCCACCCACCATCCCCCTCCCTACCTCTTTATCCCCCTCCCCCTTCCTTTTCCGTCTCGAGCGGATGGAAACTTGCGCATGCGCATTAAGTAGAAAGCCTCGCTCTTTGTCCCCATCTGTCGTTCACACGAACTCAGATCTTTTGCGTTCGGTAGCCAATAGGATTGAAGAAATGGCGGAAAAAGGATTCCGCCTCTGGAGATAAACCTTGATTGGCAAGTCAGATAACCAATCAAGAACACCAGTTTGTACCCCTTGGGAGGCACCGAGCTCCGTCGTCTCGTTTCCGGCGGTCGCGCGCTCTTTTCTCGGGACGGTAGAGGCCGTGTAGCGTCGCCGTTACTCTGAGGAGAGAACAGTCGGTAGAGGGTGAGTTTTGGGACGACTTAGTTCTTGTTTGAGAGGGAAGTAGGATTTTTTGCGACAAGAGGCTAGGGCGAGGCTAGGTTTGGAGGGAGGTTGGCCGTTCTTTCCAAGGCCCTTTGAGGCCTTGTCCCCGCCGCCACACGGCCTTCTCAGCCCACCCGCAGGGGCCCATCGCTCTCAGTTCGCCTTGCTTTCTGCTTTAACCTGGCTCCAGTTGCCTTTCCCGCCCCGTTTCTTTGTGCGACTCATCTTCGATTCTGATCCCTGTCAGTAAGTTCCCCGGCCCTTTAGCCGCCCTGGGCCCGAGGGTGTGGGGTCTATTATCCGAGAACCCTGAAGTCGCGGCTGGAGGAGGAGGCGCTTTGTTGGCGCTCCTCCTCTCAGCCTCGCGAGGCCATTAATTCAGAATGAGAAATGCCCCCCCC